AGACAAAACTGGTCCCTTTCACAGAAGAGTCAAGCACTGTGCTAGGAGGTTGCCTTGTGCCCCTTGTCCTGGAGACCATGTTGTAGACGTCTTAGCTTTCTCTAGGCCACTGTTCCAGCTCAGCCCCAGAGCTCTAAGAGGCCCATGTGTATAGATGGGTCACCAGCATTTTTGGCACTGATTTTTGAGTGTTACAGGCAGGGGTGAGGGGACTGTGGTTAAGGACTGTGAGTTTCAGAGTCTGCTTGTCCTCCTGCCAACCGGACGTTACCTGATGCTTGTTGAGCTCTGCACATGGTTCTAGCTGCTTATGTACAAGACCATCTGGAGGGTCTGCAGCAGGCATGGGCATTTCAGCTGTACTCTCCTAGTTAGAGATGGTATGCCTTTCACAAACACCGAGATCTACAGGGTTTGAGACTGATTTCCCCACCCATTCACTTGACAGAAGCTACAATGCCAGATGCAGAGGTGCAGCAGTAAACCAAGAGTAGCTAAGGCCCTTGGAGCCTGTTAGCCTTGTGGCCCCTCAAAAAACCCAGCTGCAAGCGCTCCAGCCTTCTACCAACCGTTTTTAACCTTGCTGCTCATCAGCCCCCCCCAACCCCAATCATTCCTCAGCATGCCAAGCTCTGCCTTCCTTAGGACTGTAGCACCTACTACCCCTTGGTCCGCAATGGCCTCTTTGTGTTGGTGTTCGTGGGTCTGCTGCCGCCAGTCTCCCCACGAGGTTCTCCTCCCTGACTGTGCATCCTGAGTGATGGGTATGCCCACTGCCATCATGTCGTCCTTTCCTCTGCGTGCACTCCACGTCTGCCCCAGCTCTATGACTGTAAGGTCAGTGAAGGCTGTGGAGAGCTGTGCCACCTACCACCATCGCCTTGCGCCCAGAGCAGTGTCTCCCCCTGCTGGGGAAGCCACAGTGGGTTGGGGGCCTGCCACTGTACCTCTCCCCAGGCTGGGAGCCCATTCCTGCCTCAGTCAGGAAGCAGAGAGAGTTCATAGTTAGGATCTCCATCCCAGAGAAGCCCAACACCACTGCCTTCAGCTTCTTGCCTTGTTTTATGCCTCAAGGCTATTTTAGACACACAAGCCCTTTTGCACCAAGTGTAGGCATCACTACCCTTTACCCACCTGGATTCCTGTAACATTAAGGATTCCATAGAATTGCCAGTTGCCAGCTTTTGCTTGTTCTTTCTTTTTTTAATGAAAAGGGTGGGGGGAAGCAAAGCGTTTATCTCCATGAGGAGCACAGTCCTACGTGGGAAGTTCAGCCTGGCACTGAGAAGCACGTGACCATGTCAGGCAGGTTCACTGCCCCATGCCTGCCTCAGTGCCCAGGCACATGCAGTCACTCTGACTCTGGTGTCTGAGGGGCACTCTCCGCCTTGGCATAGACTCCAGAAGAGCTATCAACTCTGTCAAGCTAGTACCTAGTTGTGTTATCCAGACTTCCCATTCCATGACAAACACCTGAAAGACACAGCTGAGAAGCAGGGAGGCTTTTTTCCCCCATACCTTCAAAGGTTCCGGTAGCTGGTCTCTTGGCTTCGTTACATGGCCCCCTTTTAAAGGGAGAACATCATGGCAGAAAGGGCAGAGTGGAAAGAGCAGCTGACCTGTTGGTGACTAGGAACCAGGCACAGGGGCATATACATGCAATCATCTGGGAGGCTGAAGAATGGGGTAAGGGCTCGGCCCACTTGGGTTCTCTAGTGAAACCTTGTCACAGCAAACAAACAAATCAAAGCAGGGGTCAAAGACGAGGTGCACTTTTCAAAGGCTCTCCCTGGTGACCTACTTCTTCACCTTCCATAGTGGCACTTCTCCATTCAGATTTTTCATCTAGGGCTGGCAGGATGGCCCCGAGGTAAAGGGAAGTGCCAAGCTTGACCACCTGAATTCAGGCCCCAGGACTCATAGGGTAGGAGGAGAACCAAACTGTGCTCTGATCTGTGGAGCGCACCCACACACATTTGCACACATGCTTCCCCCCGTCAATCATTCCACCAATATGTAACTAAGCAAAATTAAAACTATAAAATAAAATGTGCTGGAACGTGTTGCTGCATTATGGTGTGACCTCTGGAAATGCCCTCAGACATCCTAGTGCGTCTCAGTGCAGCCCCAGCCCCAGCCCCAGTCGGGCAGAGCAGTTGTCACTGTACTCGCCCTGAAGTAATTGTACGGTGAATAGCTGGTCTAGGGTATAATGCATGAGGGTCAGCCTGGGGTAGTAAGCATTTCATCTCCTTGGACATCACCATTTCTGTGGTGGGAAGCTTCAAGCTCTCCCCAAGCTCTGTGGAGGTGTCTGGTTAACTGCCGTGGACTGAATCCCCCTAGTGTGCTGTGAAACATTAGAGACAGTCTCATATCTTTCCGTACCTCATCCTCATTACCCGGCCTCTTTGTAGCTTCTCTGTGTGCTCTCTTGTCCTCTACCAGCCTCTAGCAACCTCTCCGCTCCCTTCTGTGTTGCTGTGTAGTTTAGTGTGAACAAGAACATGTGGTATTTCTTGCTGCGCTCGGCTTACACCACTTAACATGGCCTCTTCCCCTTCCATCTCTGTCCTGTAAGTGAGGAGCCCGGTCTCTTTTCAGAATAAGACTCCATGTACACATGTGCCACATCAAAAAGATTTCTTTGTCAGAAGCACGGCAGTTGACTTAACTTTTTCCAGTTGTACTGCAATTAACATGGATATCCAGGTAATTGGAACACACACACAAACACACACACCATCCTAACTGAGGTCTGTAACACACAGTGCTTTTGATCTGCACTTGCTTCTTGCTTGTTTAGCGTGGTTGAGCATTTGTCATATACTTGTTAACCATTTAACCATTCCTTTTTAAAGTAGATTTTGAATGTTAGGTTGTTGTTTTTTTTTTTAATTTTTAAAGGTTTGTCTTTTGTTACTTTTAATTCTGTGTAGGTATGTGTACATGAGTTCAGGTCCCCACAGTGGCTCTGGCCACAGCTAAAGTTACAGGTGATTGTGAGCCACCTGATGTGGTGGCTTCACCCCCTAAGCCATTTCTCCAGCCCTATCTATTGTTTTGAGAAGCGTTTATGTTTATTCGGGTCTTCTGCCACAGGTTTTGCTGTAGTGGTGATTGTTGCTTACTTGTTTGAGACCAGGCGCCAGAACAGTTTGGCACCTAGGCTCAAGTAACCCCCCATCTCAGCCTAAGCTGTGTACCACCACAGCTAGTTTATGTCCCATTTAAAAAATATTTAATTTTATTTACATGTGTTTGTCTCTGTCTGTGCATGTATTCATGTGTTCGTGGAGGCCAGAAGAGGGTGTCAAGATTTCTTGGAGCTTGAACTACAGGTGGTTGTGAGGTGCCTAGTGTGGGGGCTGGGAACTGAGCTCAGGTTCTCTGGAGGAGCACCAGTCACTCTTAACCCCTGAGCCATCTCTCGAGTCCCAAGTTCAGTTCTTCATCAGCATCTTACCTATTTCTATATGTGTGTGTATATGTGCATGATTCTGTGTGTGTGCATGTTGCACACGTCTGTGCATGCTGTGGAAGCCAGGAGACCCTGGTTGTCCTGTGATTCCTTATGCCCTGTGTTCAAGTCAGGGTCTCGCAGGGACCTGCAACTCACTCAGTAGGGCTGTCAGGCAGGCAAGCCACAGGCATCCCCAGGTCTCCACCCCCGGGTCTGGGTTTACAGTCTGGTACCACCTTGCTCATGTTTTCACCTGGATTCTGGGAATGACACTTGGGTCCTTGTGCTTACAGGACAAACACTTAACCAAATGAGCACGAATTATTTTTTGTTTGGTTGGTTTTTGTAATTGTTGTTTGTTTTGTTTTGGTGGTGGAAATGATGTTGAATCTGAAGATTGCTTTGCTTAGTGTAGACATTTTACCAATATGAGTTTTTCCAGCCATGAGCATTCAGTGCCACCCTCACTCTTGCTCAGGCACACTGTTCTGATGAGAGCAAGGCAGGAGAGCTGAGGGCCAAGGCAAGAAGCTCATCAGCATCTGCCAGTGTTTGCAAAGGGCAGGCAAGTAGAAGGGTGCTTTCCTTAGCTTATACCAGGTCACATGGACATGGCTGCCCTGAGGTCCATGAGGGGCTGCTTCCTGTCCCTCTTTCCAGTCACCAGAACAGTGATTAGCACAACCTTTGTTATCTAGAGGTGACTTAGAGTGTGTGGAGGGTGTGTGTGTGTGGGGGGGGTTACCTTTTATGTGAGGGAGGACCGAGGAATGACTTTGTGTCTGTTTGTTCCTTAAACTATTGGTAATATGCTGCAGAGAACATTCTCCCTTGTACTCAACTTTGCAGCATAGATTTTCCAAGAACAAACATGTCGGCTGTGTAATACCACAGTCCATCGTGAATTTTGGAGTACTTAGCATTAGCATAAAACTGTCATCTAAGCCACAGGCTATGTTCATTTTTCTTTCCTTGCCACAGTAACTGCCCACCCCCCTTTTTCTGAGTGTACATGCATGTGTGCGTGCCCATGCAGGTGCGTGTGGCAGCAGAGGTTGACATTGGGTGTCTTCTTCAGTGGCATCTCCACCTTACTTAGCAGGATCTCTCACTGAACCTGGAACTCACCATCTCACCTCTACTGGCAGGCCAGCAAGCCTATAGAATCCTCCTGTCTCCACTCCTAGAATTGGGGTATGGCTTGTAAATGACCATACACATCTTTTTACATTGTTGGGATCTGAACTCAAGTGTTCAGGTAGGGGTGTGTGTGTGTGTGTGTGTGTGTGTGTGTGTGTGTGTGTGTGTGTGTTTTACTGGCTCCAGTCCTGAGGTACCCACTGCAGCTACTTACTGTGCCTGCCTGGGTACTTTTAATCTGGAGCAGTTCTCCAGGTTTCCTTCATCCCTCAAGACCTTGACATTTTTAAAGGGGCTGGTCAGTTCTTTTACAGAGTGTCCCTCAATACGCTCTAATTAATTTAGAACTGTTTTCTGAGAACACAAGCTAAAGAACATCTCTATTTTCTTTCCACAGGGCCTGGCAGCCGGAGAGACAGACCCTTGTCGGCAACCCGCAAAGCATGTGCAGCCGAGGACCGAGAGGAAGATGCCTCGGCTGTGCTGAAAGCCATCCAGGTGGAGAATGCAGCTCTGCAACAGGTGCTCCTCAGCCACGAGCCCGAGCCACCCGCCAGTCCACAGCAGGTGGAGCACCTGTGGGGAGGGGGCTAAGGAGGAACGGGACACACGCAAGGCTAGGAAAGGTTTGAGCAGCAGCTGGCTCTGACCAGACCCCACATTTCAGCTGTTCTCCACATCAGCCACCATCTTGCAACTTCTGGGTTATTTCTGACCACTTATCACTAGCTTGTGACTCACTGGTCATTTCCCAGCAAACTTGGGATAGCTTATATAGCTGTCTTGTGGGTTCTTCTTTCTTCCACTCTTCTAGATTTTTTTCTTTCCTTTCTCCTTTTCAACCCTCTGACACTAGAGAATAGAGAAAAAAAGGATAGAAAGGAAAGGAAAGAGATCCCCGAAGAGAGTCAGGAGTCAGAGGGGGCACAACATTATCATTAGACCACTTCCTGCTGATTGGAGTCTTGAGTTCCTTGGAACAAGTGTGAGCTTTGCTGTCAGGAAATCTGTTTTCTTCTTGTTTCTTCTTTGAGCACAACTACTTAACAAACTGCGATGAACAATAAACAACTAGCAACCCACCGACAGACAACCCATCCCTGGGGCTCTAAGCATTTATATACTCTCTGAAAAGTCCCCAGAATTCCAAAAGTCACACAGTCACAGACACTGTCTGCATGGCAAAACCACACCTCTGCTAGAGCACCAGGCAAATTATAGTCAGTTGCTGCAAAGAAGTCCCAATAGTCCCACACCTGGGATCACAACAAAATCATATTATAATATTTCTGGGGGTTGTTTTGTTTTGTTTTGTTTTGTTTTAAGAAACCAAAATTCCAAAGTTCTCACTGAAAGCTTAGGCCTATACTACAAAATTTCAGGCCAGTGTGTGGGTGAACGGACAGTAGGCTGTGGCTCTCTTGAAGCTGGTCCGAGAATGTGAGCCACAGGGTCCCTGCTGTTCCTCTAGTCTACTTCCCTCATTCCTCATGATGATGGCCCAGACCTCCCGTAACAAACTGGAAGGTCAGAGGTGGGGTAGAGCAGAGGCCTTGGGAAGCTGAGGCCTTACATACGCCTCAACATGTTGCATAGTCTCTGGCTCTGCTGCTGAGACCCTTAGCCTGTCCCACTTGAGGCTCATGGTGACCCCACAGTAGGCGAGATCCTCTGCTTGGATTATAGATGTGGCCAACTGGGGTCACATGCAAGATCAGCCTGGCTGTCAGCCCACATTTTGTCCATGGCTGCCCTGTGCTCTCTGGTTGTTGAGAGTGTGTCTTCCCAGAGGATACCTTTTGCCCAGTCTGTCTGCCTCCTTGTGTGGGAGGAATGAACAGCAATGGCTTCATCCCATCTTATGTCATCTGATGCTGACTTTGCAGGATGCTGAGGAACCACCAGCAAAATCATGGCCCAGTCTGCTGAAGGCCAAGGAGGACAGCCCCGAGGTCAGTGTGAGCTGTGCCCAGCCAAGCTGGACATACTCTGTAGACCCACACTCTGTAAACACACTGCCCTGATGGCCTCCAGCCATTTCCCTTCCATAGTCCCAGGAGCTCCTCTCTGCAGCCTGAGCACTGGCCTTCTACCCATTTCATAGCTGTGGAAGTTGGAGCTTGAGTGGCTTGGCCAAATTTGCAAATTGAAGCTGGAGTCTAGCCAGGCCTGCTGACTTGCTTCTTCCTTCCATTTCTATTTCCCAGTGAGATAAAACTAAGATAAGTGGATCTTAATTTTGAGAATAAATACATTCTATCTATCTGTCCAAGCCAGTCGGGCACATCTCATAAAGGATGTGAATTAATAAAGCACCACAAATGTCTTTATGGCACTCAGGTGCTCCCCGTGTTCTGAATTCAGAGATGGCCCAAACATATATACCCATGGCTGCAAGGAGCATATAGGTCCAGTTAGTGGAGCCAATAAACATCCTGGGACAGGGTGCCTGGGAGGGGGCCATGCTTGCTCTGACAGGTGTCTTGGGTCACTACCTGGAAGGTGAACTGGGAACAGCTGGAGGTAGCCAGGAGCTAGTTACATTAAGGACCAGAAGGAAGCCCAGTGTGATGGGATGGATGACATGCAAAAGGGGAGCAAAACCACAGAGTCCCCAAATGAGTTTCTTTTTTTCTTAATTGCCTTTGTCCTTCTAGATTACAGTCATCCTAGGCAGTAGCCAGTCAGTATTTCTGACTGCCCTGTGATCCAGGGTTCCTGAGTAGCCTGACCCCTGACCCCACAAGCTTCCAACTATGACAGTCACCTGCAGACAGATATCAGATTCCATTCCGATTTAGATGATAGGGGAGAAAGGAGGAAACATGAGAGAGTCACTCATGAGTCTGTGGGGTCTGGTCTCTTAGGAGGAAACTGAACCCAGGTTAGTTGAAATGGTGAGTGGTGAGGCGACAGGAGTGTTCAGTAGCTCATAGGACTATTCCCCAGAACCTCCCCGTCATAATGATCTGAGAATACATGAGAGATCATAAGCTGACCCTCCCCAAGCTAGCGCTGTCACATGTATGCATTCGTATCTACCTGGTGGGAGCAGGTACCTGGAAAGCCCATGCCTTTGACCATCGTTGTGTGAGGAGGCAGGCTGCAGGGTTCCCTGGGATGCCTGTCTAATCAGCTTTCCTACCCTCAGCTGCTTGCTGTCACGCCAGTGACCACCAGTCCTGAGCTGTGCAGGGCAGCAGGGGGAGCCAGAGCCATCAGCCAAACCATGGACAGAAGGAGCCCTGTGGGAAGCAGGTAAGCTCCAAGGCAGATGCAGAACCCAATCCAGAAGACCCATAGCAGCACAACCGCAAGGGTCTCATTAACTATGGCTGTTCTTGTTGCGTTAGTCATTTTTCTTAGCTTGGACTACAAAGAGTTCAGTGGGCGCACAGTTTCGGAAGTGTCCATCCATGGGGTGGGGAGGTTGTGACAGGGGAAAAGCTCCTGTCATAACAGCCACGAAGCAGAAACAGTTACATGAAGGAGCCAGGCCACATAGCAATCCGGAGGACATTCCCCCCTGCCTCCCACTTTTCACCACCTTCCAGTAATGTCATTATAGCAGAAATTCCTCAGTGGGCGAAACCATTTTATGGGGTCAGAGGCCTTGTGGGCTAAGCCTGTCTACTGGAACAGAAGCCCGAGGTATGCCTCACTCAGTGTCTCAGCTGTTCCCATCCTGTCCAGTGACGGTGAAGTCCAGCTGCCCACCATGTTAGTCCAGAGCGATTTGACTAGCAACTTAAGAGTCCCACCCTCCCCTCACCCCCTCTAGCCCCAGAGCATAATAACACTAATATGCTTTCTTTCAAGCAAGTGGCTTGACCTGCCTCAGGTTTTCACTGGAGCACCCCACATAGCTTGGAAGAGAGCCGGGTCCCCAAACTGACTTATCAAAAGGGTGGCTCAAAGCATCAGCCTCTGAGACTCTTCTCTGTCAGAGTGTGTTCAGTAAAGCATTCTATCCCTTAGCATGTCACATAGGCCCTGGGGTTATCAAGTGTTAATAGCAAAAGAGACTCCCTTCTGATCTTCAGGGGAAATTGATCCCCAGAAAACACAGCAGCTATAGCCTCCAGTGCCACACACGTCTTGGCACATAGGCACACTCCCAGGGCTATTATGCATGTTGCAGGCTGTACGAAGTGCCTGGCTGAGGAGCAGGAGGGGACTTCAGTAATGCCTGAATGTTGTTTACTAAGTGCCCTGATCTGAGGCAGCGTCAGGCCAGGAAGTGGGCAAGGGTCTCACAACTCTGTTGCACAGAGTGGGGTGTGCTAGCCAAGCTATGTACCCTCAGTCCATCCTCTAGGGAGCCCCTCTTCATAGTGTATCAAAAGACCGGCTGGCTCAAGGCACAGCCTTCCATTCCTGCATGTTTGCAGACCCCAGATGGAAACTGCTCCACTTCACCGCAGCCATAAATCAGAGCGCTCTCGGTTTCCAGCCGCAGGGCTGGTTTGCATCTGACAGCTCTGCAGCAGGCAGTGCTAGCCAAAGGCTGCTCTCCTCATCACTGGAATCCTCTGTGCTTTAGGGCTCTGCACATGTGGGGGTGCAAACCATCTATAGCAAGGGGAAAGGGTGGGTGCCTAAGCCGGAGGTTGGCCCTTTCTGTGAAAGGCCTGCTGGAAAGTCCTGCAGCCTTGGCAGCTGGGGGTTCTGTTATTTATTGTTAGTTTTAACAATACTTAAAACACAAAAAAGCTGCTCTTAGCTGCCAGGTCATACAAAACAGGCTGTGGTAAGCTTAGGAAGGCTGACTCCTAGCTCTCTCTCAGTCAGCTGAAGAGGTCAGCTGACTTCTTTACCTGGGCTCTGATCTCACTACTAACTGAGCAGCTGCTTACACAGGGAGAGGACATCAGGTATGGCCTTGATCAGGGTGTAGACAAGCTTCTCACAGTGGGCATGACAGGCCCTGTTTTCCCTTTCGTTAGACTGGTCTCTTTTGTGTGTTCTTTGTTACTGCCTCTTTGCTGAAACAAAATCCCATTTCAGACAAGAGCGTAAGCTTCTGGGAGTCTTGCAGAGCATGGAAAGTGACACTACCCATCTCGGCCAAGTGGCTGTACCAACAGAGAAGCCAGTACCAGACCCAGAGGTGAGAGCCTTCACTGCGGGGATGGTCAGGTATAGCAATGTCACCTTGAAATCCAAGGGAAGGGGCCCTTGGAGCATTCAGTTCTGGTTGGTGGGGATGACTGATGATGGTCATCTCAACGTCCTTCTGCCGAGTCATATACATGACAGGGCAATAGAGGCAAAAGAAGGCCAGAAAAATAGAGGCCAGAAAAAGGTCCTGGAGAAAGAAAAACATAATTAACCTGTAAGCCCACAGGGCAATATCCAGTGTTGCCCATAGTCTTGGTGGTGTGGTGACAAATCTCTGTCTGCCCTTGGTAGGCTGAGGCAGGAGTATTTTGAGTTAGAGGCCAACCTAGACTATATAACAAACAAATAGAAGAAGGAGAAAATAGACAAAACATGAACAGCAGAGCTGGAGAGAGGGCTGTGAAGGTGCTGTTGCCATGCCTGGTGACCCAAGTTTGATGCCAGAACCCACGTAATAGAAGGAGAGACCTTACTCCAGAAAGTTGAACCATCCTCTGACCTCCATCTGAGCACACACATGTGACAAACACACGCACACACAGAGTAAATAACTTTATATAAAGGTAGCTGTAGATATGCTAGTGACCTTCCAGTGCAGTGGCGTTAGTGGCTGAGCAGGATAGCCCGAGCCAGTCATCCGAGCTCCATGAGCAGCACAGGATGGTGAGGACGTGCCGCCCAGTGCCTGGCATGGGTTAGGAGGCACCCGGAAATACTGGTTTCAGAGTTCGTCTTTGAGAAAAATCGAAGCTCCTGCCCCACCCTCACCCCCAGCATGGAACAGCTGCCTCTCAAGCTGAGAAGATTCACCATGTGTGGTGAATTATACATGACTTACACAGCAAAGAGCAGCAAATTACAGGCACTGGGCATTAAAAACACTGAGGGTGGCCTGGCGGGCACGGCATCCTGTAGCCAGCTAAGTCTTTTCACTTGGCCTTCACAGAGTCATTTGTACCCCGGGGCGCCATCTCAGGGCTGGCCCCGCCTCTGCTCTTTCCTGGGGCTCATAATAGCTGCAGAAGCTTCCTACACAGTCTGTGAGAAGAGCATGCCTGTACCAGGCTGGGCTTGGTCAACAAGCCCCTTCTTCCTGGTGGCCCAAGGGACAGCATACACTGATTGCTTAGGAAAGGGCCAGTCCACTGTACCATAACCTCGTGACCAAGGAAGGATATGTGATAGGTGGCTAAGCTAGAGGAAGCCAGGTGGTCTCAGTGAGGGGGTCAGTGAGCGCCAGGGACCAGTGACTTCCTAGCCAGTACTCCCTTGGTCTGTGTCCTGGCATCCTGACACTTCTCAGTTCAAACTCTGGCCTCTGCATTTAAAATCTCCATTCCGGAATTGTGTGTTTCAGATCGCCTTGGATAGGAGGTCCCCAGCCCTTTGCAGGCAGTTTTCTTCCCATCCAGCTTCTTCCCTCCCTCGCACCAGTAAACAAACTCACTTGGCCCCAGAATGCTTCCCCAAGCTTAGGCTCAGGAGCCTGGCAACTCCAGAGTCAAACAGTTCGGTCCTGGAAGCCTGGGACTCAGGTCCAGGGCAGCCAGGGACCTGGACAAGGAAGCTACGGGTTCTTCCAGTTCAGCTACTCCAAGCTGGCACTGTGTTCCTGCCAGGAGCTCCAGGCTGACCTGTCCTCACACCGCCACCCCCGCATCTCCATTCCCATTCTCTTCAAAGTGTGGCAATCAGCTTGTCCAAACCCATGCTGGGAGTACTCACACGTCTCACTGGCCATTAATTAAAAAAATAAGTGGGGAACAGTTGCTGTTCATTTACTCGGCTCCCTGCTCACAGAACCGTTGCAGATTCCGATGCTAATTAACAGAGGGCACGTGCATACAGGGAAATGCACCATTTCATGAGTGGCTGATCCGTGGTGACCAGTGCTGCAGTTGGGCCCTGAGGGCCTCTAGGAAGCCATAGCACAGAGTTGCTGTTTGTCGATGGCATTCACGCATGCTCCTAGACTAGACAGCCTCACCAGGAAGGAGGGAGGTTTTAAAATCAGTGAAGGGGAGCCAGGAATTGAGCCCATTTCGACCTGAGCACACATGGGCGTGTGTGTGTGTGTGTGTGTGTGTGTGTGTGTGTGTGTGTGTGTTGGGGTCTTGCTTAACCTCTAGACTGGGACCTTCACATAGATGGTTGCATCCTACTTTCCCTGCCAGGCTGGGAATGTCAAGTGACTGGCCAAGGCAGGGGACTTTGGTACATGCTGTCATACTACACTCGGCGCATACGCTGGCAGCTTAAGCAGCAGACTGATCTTTCTCATAACTACAAAGATGGCAAGTCCAAGGTCAAGGCATTGCCTGGCTGATTTCTTCTCAGGTGCCGCTCCTTGCCTTGCCAGCATCGCCTTCCTCACTGGGTTTACACACTCAGTCTTTTCCTGCTGTGTGTCCCTGGCGTTAATCCCTGTGGCTCCAGATTTCCTCCTTTTATAAGGCCCCTGGGCAGATGAGAAGGTAGCCCTCCCCAGCGGCCTCATTTGAAATAATCACCTCTTAAAGGCCCTGATTGCAAGCAGTCACCCCTCGGGACCTGGGCATTAGGGTTTCAACGTGGGGGAACCCAACGCTGCCCAGGCCACCTGCCAGCTCAGATACTGCAGCAGTTCCTGGGCCATAAATGCTGCAGAGGGTGAGAAGTGTGCGTCCACCATCTTTTATAGTCTCTCTCTTTCATTGGAAGGCCTCCATGTGTGATACTTAGTAAGTGCTAGGGGCTCAGTTGCTGGATATATCTGCATTTATTTTCCGTACTAGAGCCAGAACCTAGGGCATTATGCATGCTAAGCAACTGCTTTACCGCTGAGCCACACCCAACCCAATCCCTATATTTTGTTTATTAGTTTAAATTTTTTGTTTTACTTATTACTATTGTGTGTGTGCGTGTGTGTGTGTGTGTGTGTGTGTGTGTGTGTGTGCTATAGACTATGTGGAGGCTAAAGGACAGCTCACAGACTCAGTGCTCCCTTTCCACCATAGGTTCTGGGGGTCAAACTTGGCAGCAAGTACCTTTCCCCACTGAGCCATCTCTCCAGGCCACTCCCTATGTTTTAGACACCTTACAGACAGGATCCCTTGCTGGCCTCCTAACAGCCACAGTGGGCAAGTGCTATGATTATCTGCAGAGCACAGGTGGGGACTGCGACACCATGAGGCTGAACGCTGGATCAAGGCCTGGGAGGGTAGAAGAAGGGCAGTGCTAAACTCAGGCTTGCTGCCCTTTTTGTCTTCAGGAAAAGTGGAAAGCAAGAGTAGACGAGATTGAAGATGCCATCTGTGTGACCATGGAAATCCTGTCTAACTGGGGCAATGCATCCTGGGTGGGTCTCACGGAGGTCCAGTTCTTTGACCAGAACAACATAAAGCTTTACGTGTCTCCTCATGATGTGGACATCCGGAACGCAGTGTTGCCAGGCGAGCTGGGCTGCCTTGTCAACAGGGACTTGATGGTAAGTGAAGGGTTCCTGGGCTGGTTCTGCTGTCTATTTTGGTATGTGTTCTCTGCCCATAGTGAGGGTGCAGTTTGGGGAAGACTGTTGTTATCACCCCTAATCTTTCTCTGCAGCCAGGTGAGGAAGAGCCAATAGAAATGGTACCCTCTGAGACACCCAGTGTGTCTCTTCCTGAGGTCTTGCCTAAATGGCTGTTCTGTGTTCTGCTGTGGCCACCAAACATAGGCCATTAGGTGTCACTAAGGCCAGTGCCATTCTTTTGTGGATGAAGAAACTAAGGTGGAAATGGCCATGCCTGTGGCCAGGGTCACACAGAGGAAGGTAGTGGGACCAGGTTCACGAGCTGCAGCCTGGCCCACGCACTGTGCCTATACCTCTTCAGGGAGCTAATCCTTGAGCCATGGTTCCATACTCAACAGACCTCGAATACATTTTCTTTTAGCTAGTTATTAGAGGTTATTTTTATAAGCAATGCAGTTTCCCTTGTTTTTATCTTTTTGCTGATTTTTATGGGTTTTTGAGACAGGCTACCATGACATTGCCTGGGCTATCCTTGAGCTCACAACAACGCCTAGAGTAAGTGTGAGCTAACAGTTCTCCTCGCTCTGCCTTCCTAGTTTTGGTGTAATGGATGCATACCAGCATGCCCTGCTTCTTCCCATCACTTTCAAGTTAGCTGCACTGAGCAGACTAGCCAGCCACGTGGCCTTCCTGTGCTGTCTGGCACCATTCCTGATGGCCTTGGAAGAGCCTGTGGAACCTGGAGCAGAGCAAGGGAGAGGACAGGTGACAGGTGCTCTTCTATATTTCTTAAGGCCCTGTCACATACTGGATGATGTACGCCATTGTGCTAGTTGGCTGTTTTTCAACTTGACACAAGCCTGGGTTATCAGGGAAGAGGAACCTCAATTGAGAAAAATGCCTCCATCAGATTGACCTATAGGCGACTCTGTGTGGCATCTTCTTGATTAATTGTTGATGTGGGAGGGCTGGACCTTCACCTGGGTGAGTAGTCCTAGGCAGTATAAGAAAGCAGACTGAGGAGACCATGAAAGACATACATATAAGCTTCATTCCTCAGTGGTTTCTGCTCCAGTTTCTGCCTCGAAGTTTCCAAGTTGAGTTCCTGCCCTGGCTTTCCACAAAGATGGACTACCAAATATACCCCTTTTCCCCCAAGTTGGATGTGGTCGGTATTGTATTACAGCAACAGAAACCGAAATAGGCCATCTACCCAAAAGTAACATTGTTCTTTAAAGTGCTAAAAATGAAAATAGTTGCCACATGTGCCGGGCCTTGCCCTGGACCAAGTGTGGGTCAGAGTGCTTCCTGTAAGATCCTGGTGTCCCTAACAACAGGCTGAAGAGGCAGACAGACTGAGGGCCAAAGCCAGCTCACAGCCTCTGCCCACAGACGATTCCCTTAGGCTTGACCTTGGTTTCTTGTCTATTGGAGGAGCATGATTTGTGTTTATGGTCATGGGACTCTGTCACAAAAGGGAAGGAGATGGAGAATGAGAAGACTGCCCATTTAGCTTGTACCGTCTTTATTGAGTTGCTTTGTTTGGATAAGTAGCTGGCTGGTCAGCTTGTTCTCCTGTCACTCTGCTGGCATTGTTCAGTCCCCAGAGAGGAAAATGATGGCCCAACCTGGCATGGCCTCTACGTTCCAGATCCACCAAAGTGACCAACAGGGCAGGCAGGGATCCTCTCTCAAGCCCAGGGCTTACCCAGAAAGAAAGCAGGCTAAGCTTGAGAGAGCTGTGCACCAGCTGAGCACCCAGCTGGGCAGGGGGAGTGTGGCACTCTGAGACAGCAGCCCAGTGTTCCAGCCCCTGAGAGGTGCAGCCTGTGTTTAGGGCAGCTGGGTGTTTGCTCTGCTATTTCTCTGCTTAGCTTCCAGATTCAAGTCTGTGGGGCTGTGGCTCACTGCTGGGGTTCATACCCCCTCTTGCCACCTTCCCAGAGTCTTTATGCAAATTACAGGTGCACTTTGGAAGCCTGCTCTGAACAGAGCTTCCTGTAAGCAATAGGAAGCATGGGGCTCCACAGAGATAGTTCTGGTAGTGGCTGTGCCTCTCCCTACCGCCTGGGGCTGCCGCGCTTTGCTAGTGGGTAGTTTCATAGGTTTGGTTTTCTTTGGGAGCAGGAACTGAAGTTGGGACACAAAATGTAGCTGTGTCACCCTGGACTGCTGGATAGGTTTTAAGATCCTTTTCTGTGGGCAGGCTGGACCCCTCACCCCCTCCATAGTCTCTATGCCAAGACTGAGTGGCTAGAACATTCTGTCTCACACACATCCAATTGCACTGGCTTCTACAAGCCACAGCCTGATAGTTCATCTCACATGACCCTCCTGTGAACCTTATCCACACTGTCCTCATTCCATCATGAGCAAACCAGGCCTTGGGTTTAAGGGACCTGCCCTGACCACACAGTAGTGGCTGACAGGGCACCACTGATAGCTGAGCAGAGACAAACCTTAAAAAGAATGAATTTGAAGAAGTTGCTTCATTATAGGGAATTGGAGATGTGCTGGGAGATTTGCAGTATCCAGATTCCAGGCAAAACCTCAGTCCTAGGTCAGGAGTAGTGAGGATTAGATGTCTGCCATCTCAACACTCAGAAGCAGGAGGACTATGCATTGGAGGCCAGCCTGGGCTACATAGTGAGACCCTGTTTTAAACACCCAAATGGGCTGAGGAGATTACTTGAGTTGTAAAGTTCTTGCTATACAAGCATAAGAAACCTGAATTCAGATTTTCAGTACCTATGGCAGAGTCAGGGACGAGGGCTTGAACACAGCAGCATGTGCCTAATGCCAGGTCTGGGAAGGCAGAGATAGATTGGTCTCTGGAGTCCACTTGTTTGCCAGCCTAGCCAAATTAGTGAGCTCTAGGTTCAGCAAGACCCTGCCATAAAATATAAGGTGGACAGCAAGCAAGAAAGGTACCTGATGTTGACCTCTGTTTTACAGACACACACATGCACACACAAACACATACACATACACAAGCACTAAAAGAACAAAAACAAAAAAATTAAAAATCTTCCCTTCTGTGTCCACCCCCTCCATCTCTGTCCTGTGTCCACCCTCTCCGATTCTGTCCTTCTGTGCCCACCCTCTCCATCCCTGGCCTGTGGTGTTAAGATGCCTTCACATTCATATGCCCGGCCCCATAGATGACTGATCTTTCCTCCCAGCTTCCCTCACCTTGTGTCTTGTTTCCTCAGAGACTCCTTTGCTTAGCAAATGGTGTTTCCACTTGCTGGACTATCCATTTCCACTGCTTACAGCCTTTGAAATTAGGGATTTCTCAAGTCAATAGTGATTTCAAATATTTTTTCCATTTATATTTCATCAAAATATTAAGAACTAGGCAGTGTGTACTTTTTATAGTACTTTTTATACTGTGATGAGGCTACTCTCAGCGAGCTGCCTAGGAGGTCTCCCATGAATTACTGTATCTCTGCTTCCCAATGGGCCTGTCATTGGGCCTTCTCCATCTCCCCAGTCTCTCTCAAGTCCCAAGGCCTGTGAAATGGGCTTCCTTTCATATCCTCTCTTCCTGCTCCCACTTCATTCTCGTTAAGTCAGAACTCTCTACAGGAACAGAACCCATAGATTTTATTACAAATGGATTTATTAGTGGCCATCTGCACTAGTGAGGTTAAGACCCCAGCAGCTGCTTGGTCTGTGCAACGGTATGCCACAGCAGTCCCAGTTGGGTGCTGAAGGCCTGAAGAATTCCTAGAGAGCCAGAGGTCTCCCTTCCATCATGTTGGAAGGCTGCAGGAGCTGTGGAAGATGGAGACAGCTTCAGGATTCACACTCGTCAGCCAGAGCAGTAGTGAGCTAATGGGGAGGCAAGCAGGATGGCCTTTTCCTCAGATTTTATTGTATCTGGAGCCCCACTTTGGGGAGGGTCTTTCCCTTCACCTAGTCTTTCCTGGAAGTACTTTCACAGGAAAATAACAAGAAACAGTTGCCTTTTATACTTGAGCGTCTGGGGGAATGGGGCCAGTGGGGCCCTGTCTGCTCACTTTCTCCAGTAGCCCACCTCCATCATCCCCACATGTCTGGACACACTGATCAGAGCTGCTGCATTTGGATTTCAGTGCAAGTATCCCTCTCTCATCAGGGTTTCCCTGCCCATAGTGTGGAGGACCCTGTCCCCTCCTGCCCAGTCACTGTTTGTCATTTTTATTCTCCTCAGGGTCTGTCTCACTAGAACAACCACTCTTGTACCTGGGCTTATCTACCTCCCCCATTTAACTGATAAGCGCTTGTCTGTCCTTGGTTGTACCATATTCCCAGTACATAAAATTACACACTGCACAGCTTTAAACTTTGTATTTGGAAATGATTATAGACCTACAGAAAGCTATAAAAATGATACAGAAAAAAAAAAAGACCGTCAATAGAGAAAAATCAATGGAACAAAGTTGGTTCTTTGAAAGGATCAATACAATTAAAAACCTTTAGTTAGACTAATAAAGGAGGAAACAAAGGTTTCAATGAACATAAAGGGATTGAAAGGAATATCACTACCGATCTTACAGAAATAAGGGTTATAAGACTTTGTGCCAACAAATTAGATAACCTACATAAACTTTATAAATGCAAGGAGAGAAAATTACCAAAACTGACTCAAGAAGAAATGGAAAATCTAAAAAGGCCTGTCCCAAGAAAAGAAAGAAATTGAACTGATTATCAAAAGCCTCCAGGGAAGCCTGGGGTGAAATGGTGCCACTGGTGAATCCTGGCGGATGTTTAAAGAATGAGTTTCTGACAGTCCCTTCAATCTTATAGAATGTAAAAGAGCAGGAGGGAGTCCCAGTGGATTCTCAAAGGCCATATTGCTGTGACCAGCAGAAACATCAGAACAGGAAACTACACGCCATTGAACATGCAGGAAGGTACTCAACACATACTTTTTCAAACCTCAAATAAAGGCCACTGTGGGACCCGGTCATACCCACTGACAAAAACTGTTAAAAATGAATAAACCAGCCACTGTGGGAAAGTGTGGCAATTCTTAAGAAAGTAAGAAGCAGAGCCACTCTCCGGCATTCTACGCCTGAATATATAACCAAGAGATGTGCTAATTAAAAAAAAAAAAAAAAAAGTAATGGAAACTCTTAACAGAAGATGGAAATAACCAACAACACAGACTGATGGACAGATAATTGAAATGTGATGTAGCCTCACAGTAGACTATTGCCCAGCCATGAAAAGGAATAAAATGTTAGTACAGGCTACAACACACATGGGTAAACCTTGAAAGTATGAGAAGGCCACATAATATACGATTTCATTTATAGGAAACTCAGTCTAAACAGATCCACAGATGCAGGAATTGCAGGGCATGGGAGTGGATGACTAATGAGTGCAGGGCTCCTTTAGTGGGAAGTGAAATGTGCTGGGCAAAGGTGGTGATGATAGCTGTGTAGCCTGTGCATATGCTGGGAAATCATGGATTGCATATTTGAAAATGGAGAATTTTGTGATAAATGAGTTATATCTCAATTAAAGGAAAAAGAACACATAGAGATGCCGTGTGCTATTGCCCAGGTTCCCCTAAAGAAAACAGAGGCTGTCACTGTACTAATAGACAGCCCTCCTGTGTGTGTGTGTGTGTGTGTGTGTGTGCCATTTTGTCATGTGTGGCTTTATGGGATCATCCGCATATGAAGATACAGCACTACTGCATTCCCCAGGCCCATCCTTAGCACCTGGAGCCACTTGTCTGTTCTCATGTCTAGATTCTTAGTCATTTCAAGAATGCTGTAAAGGGGTAGTGGTACAGCTCAGTAGCAGATAGCTTTCCTAGCATGTGTGAGGTCCCAGATTTGGTCCCCAGCATGGGGAAAAGGGAAAGAAAAGAAGCAGAAAAGCCATCCAAATGGCATGTATGGCATGTAAACACAATTCAGCCTGATGCATTTGGAGGTTGGCTGGTTCCCAAGCAGAGTGCCCTTGACATCCTTCCAAGTGGTTGGGTATTTTGTTACTGGTAGCTTATTCCTTTGGAAGCTGCTAGTTTATTAACATGGTATTAGTTCTGATGCAGCTGGCAGTTCTCTGCCAGTGCTTGGATCTGTGTTTGATAAATGCTGGGAAAGAAAAACATCTTTGGTTTTGTAGTTAGTCATCACATAGAGAAGCTTCTCCTTTTGGGCTTCTCCTTTCTCCATATAGCTGGTCTAAGCTGGAGTGGGGCACTGAAGCCCCTAGAAACAGCCTTCAGCACACCCTAGCATGAGGGTCAGGGTGTGAATGCCCCATTTCCTTGTCCTGTGGTTAGAATCATCCTGAGATAATGTCCACACTGGCTGCCTGTTTCCATGGTGGCCTTATACTCCAGGTCCCTGTAGGAATGGCTAGCTTGCTCATATACCCTTCATGAGAAGCCTGCCTTCCCTCTCTGCCTAGACTTCTATCCCTGTCTTTTAAACAAGCCACTTGTCCAGGGCTTCTTGCCCCAGGGTCTGCTTCCAGAAGAATATAAGTTGAAGCAGAACAAGCTCTGTCCCATAAGTGCTTATAATAATCACTGAGACTAAACCCTCACTCCACCACGTGGGCTGTGAGCACCCTAAGGCAGACCAGAGGCCAAGATGCACCTTGGTCTTCCATCCACAAGGAGGCTAGCAGTCCACTTGCCCCAGGGTTCCAGAGGGCCTCTCACCGTAGCAGCCCCAGGAAGCTGACATGATTCTTGACCTCCTCTCTCCTTTCTATCTTCGACGCGGGGCAGGTGCTACAGATGTTCTGCCTCCTGGCCTGCCACTGGGGTGTGTCCAGAATGCCATAATCAGTCCCTGGCTTCCCACCAGGTCCTCACACAGATTCTGTCTGAACAAGAAATGCCAGAAGGCCTGGCCACTCATGAGCCCATGAGTTATCCTCAGGTTAAAGCACTTGGGTTTCCAATGACACTGTGTCCCCTTAGTTCTCCTGCCTTTCCTTCCATGGACAGAAATGAGAAGGGAACTCTATTTCTATCCCCTTTCTGCCAGTGTCAGACTGTTATAGAGGGAGGGGAGAGCTTACTGGCTGGATTTTGAGAGGAGGTCCCCAGATAGCTGCTAGGAACTTAGAGTTGTAGCACAGCCACAGTGCTTCCAGAGTAAGTCAGCATCCCTTGAGCCCGCATTCCTATCCAAGGCTGTCCCTTCCCTACCAAGAGCACCATCACCAGGAGACAAACCCTAGCTGTTCTCCTTGTAGCTAGCTCCAGCTTCAAACCAGAGTCACCCGCCCTCCTCTCTGCTGCCCAGTGAGAGGCATATTCCTGGTGACAAGAGTCCTTAAAATGCTCTCAGATACCAGGTGACGCCTGTTTAGAGTAAAATGCCCCCCAGTAATCCAAAGCCAAGATGGCTGTGGGACCAGGCAGTACCTAGGAGGGATGTGAGAATGGGACAGGCAGCAGTGATTAATTCGTGGGGACTAAGGTACCGAGAGTGGGAGCCTAGCTTCAGGTGACACTGAGCCCCAAGCCTGGCTGTGTAGGACCTGAGTATCAAGCATTCTGAGTTGGAAGAGAATACAGGAACCAGGTCCCAAGGGGTAATCTGTCCTATTTTTTTTTTTTTTTCAGTTCTGGCAATGAATTGGTCCTTCTTAGTTTTCCTTTCCAATGTCTGAAGTAGACAGATGCCTTTTAACCAGATGCAACTTAGTTACTTCTGTAAGGCTGCAACCTTAGGAGAGTGCAGGGAAGCCTGTGCCACTTAGCCACTAGGTCCATCCCAGCTAAGAAGCCATACCTAATCATGGGATTCAGAAATGAGTGAGACTTGAGGTTCCCCGTACAGAGCAGGGCTGAACTGTTGAGACAGGACACAGAGACAGCCCACACTGACTTCGAGTACTACAGGGAACTGGAGCTGCCTGGATGAGAGTCCAGGGTAACAGGAGAAAAGGGAGAAGGAACCATGAGACGCCTTGTTGAATTTCCCAGGGTGTCAAGTACGAGGAGCATGGTGGAAGCAGAGGCCTGTCCGCCTCCAGGCAATGCCCAGCCAGCTGCCAGGGGTGTTCGGGACCAGTGCCGGTTTAAATGTTTCTTCTCTGTGTGTAGGTTAGAGGCATAATTCTTAAGAGTTGGTTCTCCCTTTCCACCTTGTGGTCCCAGGTATCAGACTCAGGTTGTTAGCCTTGGCAACAAGTGCTGTCTCACTAGCCCAGCTGCAGCCTTTGTTCCATAGAACGTAGAAATATCATAGGAGGTGACTGGAGCAGAAAGTCCCCTGATTTGGCTTTATCCATCTGTTACCAAAGCTCTGGTGCCCTGCATCCTCAAGGGCAGCCTTGGCAACACCCTGCCTGCCTCCTGCCTCACACAAGAAATGCATACAGAAGGCCCCTGCACTTGGAAACCCTGAAGGGAGCAGCCGGCTCCATGCCATGGCCCTGTTCCAGGATATGGCTCAGACATTGCTTTTTCTCTTCTGTTCTCAAATTTGAAAAATTCCAGAGGGTTTGACAAAAGAAAATCAGAGGCTCTACTTTTGCCAGGTTAATCAAACAGCGCCAGCAGAGGCCTACCTCTACGCCCTCCTGGCATCCCTTCCCTCACCCAGTGCCCTCCTCAAAGCCCATTAAGCTGATTAAAATAAAGCCCACTGCATTTTGAGTTCCATCTGGCTGGCAGCTTCTTGCAGGGACAGGGTTGTTGGCGCTATGAAGCGCAACTGGAAAGGGGTGAGCGGAGAGGACAGCACTTACTATGGAGATAAGGGGCCCCTGCCCAGCCCTTGGATGTCTGCTGGTTTTAATTAGCCAGAGTCGCTGGCCTTTTGCCCTGGAGACAGGCAGAAATGTCCCTAAACAGTTCCCACCTCTTGGCATTTCAGAGCAAGAAGGACCCCCCTGTGTGGACCTGCTCTTTCCACCCACCACTTCAGCTCTATTTTATTATCCACAACATGCAACAGCTTCGTGACTTCAGTCTGGCCAAGATCGAGGTTCGGAATTACTGGACAGCAGATGGGGTAAGTAGCAGGCTCTGCCTCCTCACAGCTCACCTAGTGGTGCACACACTTAGCAGTTTGCCCACAGCTGGGTTCCTGGGTCCTAAAAGAGCCTCCCTGAGAGCCCCAGGGGCAGAGCTTACAGGTCCTAAGGTTTAGGAAGTGCTGTGATGCTGTCTCATATCAGTCTGAGAAGAGGAGACTATGTACTCAAACTCCAGGCCCATTCATTTAGCAATGACGGAATTTGGAGAACCTGCTGGAAAGCAGACTTTGTTTTTGAGACAGGGTTTCTCTGTGTAGCCCTGGCTGTCCTAAAACTCTCTCTATAGACCAGGCTGGCCTCAAACTCACAGAGATCTACCTACCTCTGCCTCCTGAGTACTGGACTAAAGGTGTGCACCACAATGCATGGCAGAAAATAGATTCTTATTGGTAATTTGGTAGGTGAGATGGGGATTCTGTGTGTCAGACCAGGCTCAGGTGCACCAGGCCCAGGGGCCTGGAGCCAACTCTGCATGGCTAGCTTTCACCTTGGCTGCAGGGTCGTCTCGTTCAAGTTTTTCCTCGCTCTGTACCCTACACTGTCCTCCTGCCCTCATTTCTCCTTCTCCAGCCTGTTCTTCATGAGTTGATTTGCTTTAGCTCTTCACCCACACAGGCACACCAAGGGCTGTCAGCCTCTTCATATGTTCTGAGGAGGCAGATAGGAAAGACACAGACTGCCCTGGAGGCTACCTTGCTGAGATGCTGACAGACAAGATGTAGACAAATCATGCAGTGTGTTGAAGCCCTGAGCAAGGAGAAGCTGGTACTAGGTATCTCTCACGGAGGTGCCAGGGGACCCTCATAAACTCAGAATGAGCAAGAAGGGGCAGGAACACTGTCATTCTGCCATGCAGACATAGGGTCAGGAATGGTTATGCCTCATGCAAGATAGGAGGGACCAAAGCACGGGAGAGGTAATGAGCAGGAGCTGACCGTCGTGTCCATCTTGAGCGAAAGACACGAGGGAACGGCGGCCTCTGCGGCCATCTGTAAATCTGTAGCCAGAGAGGGAAGACACAGCTTCAGTCTGAATGCATCTGTGGAGAAGACCCAGGCCATGCTGTTGGCACTTCTAACTGTTCCCCCAATTTTGGGAACTTGTATGAGATGGTTTGGCTTTGTTTGTTCCTTCATTTGTTTGTTTACTTATTGAGACAGGGCTTTTTATGTAGTCTAGGATGGCCTAGAATTTACCCTGTAGCCAAATCCTCTTAATCCTTTTGCCTTAGCTTTCCAATCTGTCTCCAGTGTCCTACCACTAGGGAGAGCCTGTCATACTCTTCTCTGCTTCAAACCCTAGAGACTCCTTTTGACCCAGAGAATCAAGGTCAAGCTACTGGTGTGACATCTGAGCCTCCTAATGCTTCTACGCCAGTCTCTGCTCCCTTGCTCAAGCCTGAGCAAGGGGCAGTGCTAGCTACAGTGACTACAGCCTTGTCCCTGCCCACTGCCCCATCTCACTCACTCCAGATGCTTGTCCTCAAAAACCCAGGGGATGCTTTCTCCAGGGATCTGCTCCAGCCCTTGAGCCCATTCTTTACCTTGTGTGCTTTCCCTGGCCTCCGAGACAGAAGGGCCACAAGTCTCTACCACTCATCTATGCCAAGGAGATGAGCAGGTGATAAATGGGTGAATGAATGAATGAATGAATGAATGAATGAATGAATGAGTTTGCCTTTTTTTTTTTTTAGCCCATAAGCAGCTATGTTGCCCTTTCTTATACCCAAGTGAGAGGACAAGAGATAAGAGAGTTGAAGCAAAACTGGTGGTTCTCCAGGAGAGCTAAACACCATCTCCTCTCCTCTGCCCTCCTCCTTTCTTCCCACCCTCTCCCCCTGCTCTTCTCCCCTCTAATTGTTCTCACAACCAGCCCCCATCCACTGCTAGCACATGTCCTCAGCACCACAAAACGATGGGCACCTCAGGCCTAGAGGCCCATGAGATGGATACCGTCCCTATGGTTCTATTCATGCCCCTTACTGCTCAGACCAGCAACAGAAGACCCCCTTTGCTTTCTGCCTTTTGAGGTCTTTCTTTCTCAATACATTTCTAAAGTATAACTGTGAGAAAAACAAGAATCTGGACTATGTGAGAAAGGTCTCAGGACCTGTGACCTGTGAACTCCCTTCCTCCCTGTCCATCTTTTAAGTGCACAGAGCCCCCCACTCCTGCTGTTCAGGATCCCAGATTTGTTGGTGCTTCCCTGCAAGTGCTCCCCACATCTTGTTCTAGAATGAGAAGTGAGATGCTGCAACCTGCCCAAGCCCATGACCTGTGGCTCAATGTGGTCACCAAACATGAGCCTTGGGCATGTTTTATACATGGACCACCACACTGAGAAGCTGTGTGCCTCAGCCAAGACAGGCTTATTTACCTGTGCTTAGCCTTCCTATGACATGCAGAATACAAAAAGGACTCAGGGCTGTCTGAGTCAGGGGAGTGTTGGAGGCTTACTGTGGGTGGGGAAATAGGGTTCTGACACCCAGGGCGGAGCATGGAACAGCTTTGCAAAATGCTGCTGACACAACACACAACCATCTGTTGCCAGAATTTTCCAGGGGGCAGAAAAACACGCAAACAAATGCAGCTGTGGTTTGGTCGATTTAATATTCTCCAGAGAACGCTATTGCTGTGTGTTTTGGAGGAGATAAAATGGGAGTTTATAGGGAATATAGCTTGGCCTGCAGACATGGCTTGTTAATGCAATGTTTTGTGTATGGGAGTCTGAGGAGGGAAAGTTAAGTGGAGGAGCAAGGCTTGCTTGGAATGGAGGAGACTTCCAGAGAAAGTGGGTTTCTCTTGATTAGAATGTGCTGCCCATTACACCCTTGGGTTAACATTTACAGGCTCCTTTCCCCCTCGCTAGGTGGCATTGTGTTTGTGAGCTGCCCTGAGCGAGGGACTTTGTAAGGGAAGAACAGAAGGCCACACTTCACGGCACATAGCACAGCTGTCTGCTGTGACAGCTGTCATTTGCTCACCACTCTGAGAGTCAGGCCTGTGAGAGGCACATATGTGTGAGAATGAGTAGCTGAATATGGGAAGTATCTTATCTGACATCCAACCATCTCGTAGTTGATGACAGTACTCCCTGTCTTGGTGATTAAGACCTACGTCAGGAGTAGTAAGAGCTCAGATTGTAGATAGCCTGGATGTCTTGGTCAGCTGCTTAGAAGTGGGTGCCTGGGGTGCTGTCCTGAGAGCCTTCCCTCTGGTTCATCAGGGTTCACTAGGATTGATTGGCCATGTCTGCTTAAGGCAGGAGGGGGATGGGCTGCTAAACATGTCTGCTGCATCTTTTATGTTTGACACATATGGAAGATTTACCCAGTTGGAAGGTACAAGGGACTGGGCTAGTTGGGCACTATGACAGTCCTTAGCAAAGTGACAGTTGTGGCTGAGAGGGGACCAGCAGACTTTGAAGTAGATGATTGCTTGTCTGCTGTGGTTTGGAAGTAGGCTCCATCTGATGGGAAGCCATCACTTCCTGGGGTGCTTTGAATCTGGAAAGTCACCTCTAGACTTGTGCGTTTAATGCCCGTTTCTCAGTGTGGGGGTAGGCTTTAGAAAGTTGTGGACCCTTTAGGGAGAGGGACCTGGCTGGTGGAGCAGAGCCTTGAAAATTAGCCCACCTGTAGCTCCAGACCCTGCTCTGACTGCTATAATGAACTCTGCCACACTTTCCTCACTGTAGTGAGCTAAGCCCTCCGAACCTGTGAGCAAAATTACCTTTTTCTTCCTTAAGTAGTTTCTGTCAGGTATTTTGACATAGTTATGAGAAAAGAAAGTCACTGCCCTTGGAAGGGGTTCTGTTTGTTCTCCTGGGGCTCTGTGCTGGCTCCTGGGAGATGGTGGGTATAAAGAGAAAAGGCTCTCTGAGCAGTTTGGCTTTCTGTCCTCGATATGATCTCCCACTCCAACACACTCCTGCTGTGATGCTCTTGGTTTTGAAGCCTCCACCAAAGCTGAGCTGATGCCAGTACCTTGCCCTTGAACCTCTAGAACTGTGAGTTAAATAAACTCTCTTTCTTGATAAAGTTACACAACCTTAGTTAATTCAGTATTATAACAGAAAACAGTCAAATACTACAAAAATGAGCTTCCGCTGGCTCTCCATGCTCCATCTGTTTTCATTTATAGCAGTCTTGAGTTATCTGTGCTGTCCTTGTCAACAAGCATACAGTCACCACCCTCACCTTTAGTACCAAAGGAGTCACCTCCAGCCTAGACATTGCATTGAATGAAATGTGGCCAGCAGGCGTAAGAAACTGCATTTCAAAGTCAATTTAAACTCCACTTTAAATAGCCATGTGCAAGCTAGTGACAGTGCAATGCGTTGCACAGGCCCTAGTTTTAGACTCTGGGCAGCAAATAGACATGGCCCCGTGTGCATAGCCCTGCACCTTCAGAAAGGAAAGGGAAGGTAAAACAAGGATACAAGTGAGTGTGGGATTCCAGGCAGTGTTGAGTGTTGTGAAGACACTGGACTAGGAAAGTGTCTTGGCTACTGTTCTATTGCAATGACAAAAAAAAAAAAAAAAAAAAAAACATGGCCACAACGACTTATAAAAGAAATGTTTCATTGAGCTTATGGTTTTAGAAGGTTATAGTCCATGATATCAGATCAAAGGCATAGTGACAGGTATGTCTGAGAGCTCCCATCAGGAGCCACAACCAAGAAGCAGAAAGACAGAACAGGAATGGTCCAGTCTTTTGAAACCTCAAAGCCTGTCCCCAGTGACACACCTCCTCCAACAAGGACATACCTCTTAATCCTTCCCAAACAGTTCCTCCAGCTGAGAACCAAGTCATCAAACATGCCTATGAAGGGCACGTGTAGTCAAACTAACATACAGAGTGAGAGAAAGGAGGAACCATGGGAAGAATGTTTCTGGTAGGGGCATAGCAAGAGCAAAGGCCCTGAGGACAGGAACATACTTAGCAAATGCCAGAACAGTAGTCACCTGAGTGGC